ATTGCCAAATAATGGGGGAGACAGAGCCTCAACTGGAAATCTCTTGATACCAAGTGATGCTTCCAGTATTGGGAATGGGTTACATCTAATTGATTTGCTGGCCAAAGGGGTCTTATGGAAACCCCCAAAAAAACCCAGACAGTTGCCAGGGCTGGTTGCTCTCCACAGACAGACAATAAGGACCATTGATGAAGACAATACCTATACAATTCACGGAACATGGAGAAATGGATCTGGTGCCTACCCAGAGTATTCAACACCATGGACTAGTGTTTTGCATACCAGAAGGCACTCTGAACAATACCAAAGGAGAAATGTAAACCCCAACCCAACTACAAATACTTTAATCTACAATGGTGTCCTGCCTTAATGATATGCTTGCACAATGGTGGCACAAAGCTTGTGGGAGTAACCGACCAATATCTTATTTGACTTAAGGCCCACTCCATGAGATTGAACCCATACCTGACATTGCACTGGTCACCAAAAATCTGAGACTAGATAGCCCAGGGACCTTGGGGAAAACCAAACATTAATTTCTACTAAAGGACACAGCAATAAGGATGACTCCTAATAACTACTATACTCATACATAGATCATTGCCTTGCTTAGCCATCATCAAAGAAGCTTCTTCCTGCAGCAGATGGGAATGAAAACAAAGACCCACAGTTAGACAATATGCAGAGAGTAAGAGACCTTGTAACACACAGTCCTAAAAAGGATATTTCCATCAAATCTGAGCCGTCAGGCTTCAGGGAACTCATAGAAGCAGAAGTAGAAAGAGTGTAAGAGGCCATAGGGGATGGGGGACACCAGAGGAAAAAAGCCTTCTAAATAAAATAGGACCAACACAAATATGTACTCACAGGGAATGAGGCCGCACACACAGGGTCCACACCAGATGCTGTCCTATAGCTGAAAGAAGAAGTGCATACATGCCCCATTCCTAACCCAGAGGATATCTCCAATTGTCAACCACTTGCAAATGAAACTTTAATTTTATCCAAGGGAGTCTTACTGGGAACAGAAAAGAAACTGAACAGCAGCTTAGGAGGTTCCTTGTTTAATGATGTCATGTTAGGGCTCTTTCTTTTTTCATTTTCTTTAAAAAATTATTTTTATTTTATTTCTTTTACCCACAGGTCACTTGCTTATACATTATGGATTCTGGTTTTGTGTTTTTATGTGATTCCTGAGTGTGCATAAAAGAGTGTGTTTCAGCATCTATATCTATTTTGTGCCTTCTTAGACTTTCTTTCTTCTGTTTGTTTGGTCCTATCCTGAAATGTTTCTTTTTATTTTATCATAACATATTGTATCATATTATTTTTATTACTAACCCTAAGATGCATGTTTGTTTTCTCATGAGATAGAGGTGATGAATCCAGATAGAAGAGAAGATGGGAAAGAACTCTGAGGGATAGATAATTTCTTGGATATTCTTATAAAAATAAAAGTTTTATAACTGAAAGTAGAAATTTTTTCATGATATTAATCTTCATTTAGGCTGGATTATAGATATAGATGTCAATCAATTAAAATGCTATATTTTGTAGTTTTAAAGAAGAAATGGGCAGCAGTCAATATTTAGCAAATACTATGCATTTATTTTTTCATGTACTTGAGAAAATAGATGATGAAATTTGTCATATTTGAGCTTATACTGTATTTTTCCAAGCAAGTAAAAATCACTTCAGCGATTTCTTCAACAGTAGATTTAAAATTGAATGCACTTGATAATGAACAAAAAGCTCAAAACAGGTGTCTAATTTACAAGTTCAATGACAAATATTAGACTTGCACATCTAGATTGGACAGATTCACCTATGGATCTTAAAAATATAAACCAGAACTTTTGTGCTGGCACACACCTTTATTTTCAGTGGAGGTTGAAGAATCTATGTCACTTCAAAGCCAGCTTACATTCAGTGAGAGCTAAGCAATAAGAACTTATCTAAAAAAAAAAAAAAAAAAAAAAAAAAAAAAAAAAAAGCCCAGACTTTTCCTGAGAGTTTTACCAAGGTATGGAGGGGGGCTGAGGAACTGGACTTAGACTAGGTAAAAAGCTTCTAACATGACATCATTGGAGGAACAGCGTTTTGCAGTTTTAGAATGACAGCAGACAGACATTAGAATACAGGCTCTTTAAGAAATAGAGTCCTTATGAACACTCAGCTCTCAGTTCAAGAGGCCTCACCAAACTCTAAGATTAGTAAGAAACATTTTATGTCCTCTGCCTTACAGAAGCTTCTCAGTTTCAGGAGGTCCCATTTATTAATTGTCGATCTCAGTGTCTTTGATACAGGTGTTATGTTCAGGAAGGGGTCTCCTGTGTGAGCAAAGGAGTCAAGACCATGCTGGGAAAACCCACAGAAACAGCTGACCTGAGCAAGTGGGAGCTTGGACTCCAGACTGACAGCTGGGGAACCTGTGTAAGATTGATCCAGGCCTCTGAACATGGGTGTCAGTTGTGGGGCCTGGAAAGTCTATGGGGCCTCTGGCAGTGGAACCGGTTTTTATCCCTAGTGCACAAATGGACTTTGGAAGCCCATTCCCTATGGAGGGATACTCTCTCAAACTAGATACATGGGGGAGGGGCTGGGTCCTGCCCAAATGATATGACAGACTTTGATGATCTCCCATGGAAGGCCTCACCCCTCCCTGAGGAGTGGATGGGTACTGGGAGGATGGTAGGGAGAGAGAATTGGGATTGGTATGTAAAATAAGATTGTTAAAAATTAAAAAAATAAACATTTTATGAATTAGAAAACGTGGGTAAGTGCTAATTGTGAACAAGACAGAAGTTACATGAACTACAAGTGAAGTAGAGAGGTGGTCTTTAAATGGAGGCACACAGTAAAAGAAGATATAAAGGGAGAAGGGAAAGGACACCAGTGAAATGCAATGAGGCTGAGAGATGATGAAATGGCTAGGGACATGCAAAGTTCTCTCTGTGAATGAAGTTGAGAGGTGTACCTAAGGAGAAAGAATTAAAATGTCCTTTATGAAGAACTACTAAAAGGTAAGACTGCAAAGCTATAATAGGAGACCATTTATTAACAGTGGTCCTAAAAGTCAGTTCAGTTTGCAAGATTGTATGAATTCCCCTTGCCATGCAAAGTGAAAGTGCAGGGAGATTAAGTAGACTTTGTTCCTGGTGAGTAAGACAAAAGAAAAGAAGAGGAAACATACTAACACTAAGCTATTTCCCCAGATATATTGCTGCAAAACACAGGGTGCTGAGAAATAAGTGGTAGGTGAGTGCTCAGCCCTAAACAAGTTATTCATGCCATCTTGATGATGCTCAGGTTACTCCGTGGAACAGGGAATACAAAGAACTTATGAGTCAGAAACCAAGGAGAAGGGCTGTGTAATAGCTTCTTGGTAAGACATAGCTGTTCCAGTCAAACTCACCGCAGATGTGGATGAGTGTACTGGTTTGAACAAGAACAGGCTCTTCAACAATCACATATGGAGAAGGGGGATGCAGGGAGCCCTGCCCCTCCCTGATGAACACTGCCTCTTAACAGACTAAGAGAAAGACTATTGTGACCCTGCCACCACACTCCAATGGGTAGTTCAATCCATTTGTAATACATATAGCCCTAGTTAAACTACATCTCTCTCTTGCTGTCCTTGCCTGTGTCTCTGTCTCTGTCTCTGTCTCTGTCTCTCTCTCTGTCTCTCTCTCTCTCTCCACACACACACACACACACACACACACACACATACACACACACACACCATGAATCTAGGAAAGTAACTGGTGGGTGATGTAAAAAGAGATTGGAGGGAGATAAGAATAGGTGAGGGTAACGGTAATCAGAATACATTACACGTATGTACAAAAGTGTTAAATAAACTTAAAAGTGTTAAATAAAAATAAACATTAGTTGATTATAGAGAAGAGAACTGGTTATATAAATGTTGGTGAAAATTATGGTGAGCCAAGGAAGCTAAGATACACAAGATGAGAAACAGACATGAAGAATTTGAGATTAAAAAAAAGAAGTTGGCAAGATTCATTGAAACAGGTACTAGATGTTGAGAACTTGCTGGAATCAAAGTTCCAGAGTAAATGAGCTAAGAAAGTTGGAGGTCATAAATGGGGATGCTTGGATTAGAAAATGGTAACAATCAAGAATAGGATATGACCACAAGGTAAATGCCATAGAGAGTACATGGCACACAGCAGGCAGAGGAAGAGACTGGTATATTGACAGGAGTTGAAAGAAGAAAAAGATCACAAAGCCAGCAATGTAACATCACATATGTGTCAACTGCAGCCACAGTGTATACTGAACAGTGCCGTCTTGTGAATGATTTCAAAGATGTGCTTTGAAGGACAGAAGGATAAAGACCAAAATACACTAAGGAGAAATCAGCATGCAGGCCCAGTGGTGTAACTGTTGTGGAGGAGAACTTGCAACTCCCTAAGAGGGTTGTTATGGATCCAGTATCTCAGGGAAGGAATCACAATTGAATTAAAGCAGGAAGACATAAGCATATTCATAAAATAATATGCTAATTTTTGACCCAAAATATATCAACACAGGCTCTAGGAATAAAAACTAAAGAAAAAACAAAAAACAGTGTTAGTACTTACAAAACTGCAATACAAGTAAGAAATGTAACACAAAAGTGATTAATGTGTGCAAATACATTTTATTGTAATTTAACATGTTATAAAGCATTGTTTTACTAAAAATATTCACTAAATTATAGGATACATATTCATAAAAGTGGTGCAGAAACTCAAATATTTTAATCTTTTGAAACATCATGGTATTGCCTATATACTACAAACTATTGTGAATTAGGTATCAGATAAGGACAAAGGTGTGTGTGTGCAAAACTCCACAAAGAAAGACATTTATTTATATGACAATAAAAGATTCTAAAAGGCAAATGAAGGAGATCTGGGTAGGGTTCACTGTTGAGGGATTTTAAAGCAGGGGAGAAATGGCACCTGTATGCTTTTCTGGGTACAAGCAGTTACCTGAGACAAAGCCGCATCCCGCTCTTCTATCACTGCATTCATTTCTTCTGCAGTTATTCTCTTTTTACATTCCTTGGTCTTGTAGATTCTATCCACAATTATAGCTCCATTCTTCTGAATAGCTAGCCCAGTGTCTGCATTGTTTATTCTGCTCAGTAATTCCTGTAATGTCTACCAACACCATTATATGTTAGTCAGACATGAGGTTTTAATATATTTTATTTAATATAGGGTTTTAATTAATAGGCACATGTGAATTGTAAATTGACTGAGTGAAGTTATTGAATTTTCATATTGCAGCAAAGATGTACATTATTAGTGTGTCAATTCTTCTTTTTCCCACATCTTAGTTCTTGAAACCCACTCAATTGAACTTAAGCCTCTAAGATATAAGACTGACATCAAGAAATCTCCTCAGAGAATGGCTTACCATGTCATTTTCTTCAGGGTTAATATTTTCTAGCCTAGAAAAAAGGGACACAGAAAGCCTGATCAGTAGCATTTCCTTAGTGCAGCAAAATGAGTTCGCTTTTTAAATCTTTAGAACCTCAAGTAATTTCATTCGACTAGTCTTTAGAGTCAACCATGACACTGAACATATTAAAGTGGCACCTGCTCGACTCCGTCTTCCAATAATGCTCTCTATCTTCTGCTCTGACTTCAGACTGTTAAGTTATTAATGTTTACTGCTATATATGACTACAAGGATCAATTGTTCATATGTGTTTAGATGAAGAAAGTTCCCCAGTGATAGAAGCACTCTTTTTCATCATGATATTTATTCCTATTCTTTCAATTCTGATCAGAAACTATTTCCTTTTTGTTTTTGGACACTGTCACAAGTAAAAACAAAGCAAGCATTTTTATTACGAAGTTTAACTATAGTCCCTCAAAACCAACGACAAATAATTATACTAAATTAAATCTGAAAAATCTATTGTTGAATCTTTTAAACAAAACACACTGAATACATAAACTGACTAAAATTGAACCATACTTTAGATGAGTGCTTTTTTCTTTTTCATATTTATGGAATCATTCCATTGAAAGAGAAAGAATTTGAAATGCATTTTTGATAATAATTATCACATTTACTGAAATGCTTGTTAATATGGATAGATAAACTGAATAAATATGCTAATAGAAAAGACATTCTAAGTAATACATTTTAGAAAACAAAATTTAGGCAATGATTAAATTAGGTAAATTAGAGGACAAACTGTGATGAATATTAGTAAATGACAGAGATTTGAAAATAATTAGGATTATTTTTAAATTGTACTAAAAGTTTCCAGATAAATTTCCTGTCTCCTGTGGCCGTCTCTATATTTGCACTTTAGGGATTTAATATTTACCACAAAAGACATGATACTAAAAAATAATACACAATTGATAAATATGCTACAAAATTGTTCCTAATGTCACAATTTGGGTAAATCTCACTACAGTCGTGGAAAAAGTCGTTTTTAAACTTAGTAATTTATCAGAAAAACACATAAGCAGAAAATGCTACGTCTGTACACACTGGCATACTATGACTCAACGGTAAGATTTAGTCACCCTAATTATATAACACAGCGGCTTTCCAGTGTCTAGTAGCTGCTTCCATTCACATCTCTAGAAGAGCAAATATTCTTGTCTTTTATAGAGTTTCTCTGAAATAAATTACATTTTCAGACACACTACTTAATAAAAGCTTGTTCAACAAAAATTTGGGAGTAGACACTTGTTCTGTACTCATTTCAAAAGCACAGAATTCTTGCACTATTGTCACAATGAAAGTACTTGAATGCTGATAGCATTTATCTTCACTTACTGGTTAGTTAAATAAAATTTTTAATGGAATCACATGCAGTAAAACATCTTAGTATTAAACTTTTGCAGGTGAAACCAAACTAAAAGCTGAGCACTATAGTTTCCAGGAAAAAAATCAGATATTTAAATTTTTCATAAACTTAAAATGGGAAAGGAAAGATAACAATCAAACATTTAGACATAGTAATCTTTAAGAGATTTTGCTAGTTATAGATTAAAGCTTCCAGTTTTAGTTTCCATCAAATAAAATTAACAATAATATATGAATGTTACCTCATTTGTATATTTTAGATAATCGACAGAATACAATGCATGTGGGATTTCTACGTAATGCTTATAAGTTATTTGGGGCTATGGCAATATGAAAAATTGTTACTTTAAGAAGAGGACAGAAAAGAGTTCAAATGTTATGAATAGGCAATTCTTCACATTTTAGAAACAGTTGAAATAACTGAATTTAGTCTAGTATTAAAATGTGCAACTAGCTTATAAAGTCTTGGGTAGGGGTTTATCACAGACATCAAATGTTAATCCCATAATATTATCTCAAATTAAACAGAACGGGAATCTGTAGTGTTATGTTGTACTCTTTTGGCTTTATAGCCCTTTCGAGGGGCCAGTCACCTAGCTCCCAAATAACTATACATGAAGGCTTATTCTTAGTTATAAATGCCTGGCCTTAACCTGGCTTGTTTCTAGCCAGATTTTCTTATCTTTAACTATCCCATCTATCTTTTGCCTCTGGGCTTTTCCTGTTCTTTTACTTCTGTAAATCTTACTCTTCACTCTGTGGATTGCTGTGTGGCTGGATGGTTGGCCCCTGATGACCTCCTCTCCTTGTTCTCTTGCTGATCCTCCTTCCTTGTTTCTATTTATACTCTGCCTGTCAGCCCTGCCTAGCCTTGCTCCTGCCTCACTATTGGCAATTCAACTCTTTATTACGACCACCAGGTGTTTTAGACAGAAACATTAACACAGTTTCACAGAGTTAAACAAATGCAGCATAAATAAAAGTCATACACTTGAAAATAATATTCCCCAAGAGAAATCAGTAAATATTTTCTTTTAGGAGGCACATACTAAATATATTTGAATTAGTTTATAGTCTCTCTTACCTCCTCAATCTTGCCTTTGTAATGCTAAAACATTTATAGCATTAAAACAAATGGGCAAGAGAATGGCTATGGCTGGGTTTTAATAAAACTTTATTTACAGAAATAGGTGACAGATTGGATGTATAACATATTCATTGTCTCTCCCTGAAACAGCATATTAAATAGTGAGACCAGTTTTTTAATATTATTACATTAGAAGATGGAAGTCAGTATATTTGACATAATTTTCTGAACTGGGTCATCAATTGTCTTGCTAAATATGAAGTAAGAAATGAACAAAATAATTTTCAGAAAATCATATTGAGGCCTTCAACAAGTAAACCATGCACTGTGTCATTTACCATCACACCAAAATTAGACATTCTATCTATTCAAAAGAAATAATATAAAACAACAACATAAAATATATAAGGCCTTCTGTTTTACATAAAAATGATCTTAGGCTGGTAAAATTTACTGGAAGTATGTACAAAATAACAAGAAATTCTGATTTAATTAAAGGTTTAAAGTAAAGGGTGATATTATATAAAATATAGCCAGTAAACAATTGACTATCTCTCACTAATATAGGGCTTGCAAGTAAACAAAAAAAATCTTAGCCATTTATAAACTCATAATAATGCCTACTGCAGTGTAACTTCACATAGTTATGATAATTAGTTAACAATTTTGCTGAAGTAAATGTTCATGGGCTCAAGTTTCAATTGATTTCCTATACAATGCAAATTCTAACTGACAACTTTGCAATCTAAGTGAAAAACCCATGCATGAAATGTCACATTTCTTGAGTTCTTCCTTGATCCATCAATATTATCTTTTTCTTTACTGAACGTTAGTCCAAGAGTATGAGACAGAGCAATGACCTCAAATAATAAGTTTGTGATCCAAAAATACAAATAAAAACATTTGGATCCAGTAAAACATTCTGTAGATATAAATTGATTTTAAAACATATTTAGGGAGGTAAAGGTACTGGAATAACTACATGATTCTTTAATAAAAGAGAAAAGTTGGAGGAGTAATACATGATTTTAAGGCATAAAAGAATCAGCAATTAAGAGTATATAACACTGGCAAAGAGGTAGCCATATATAAATGGAACAACACAATTTAATCTACAAAATAACCCATATGCATATGACAAAAGTATGTTTGATAGAAGTACAAAGAAAACCATGGTGTAATAATAGGCTTTGCATTCTATGGTAATGGAGTGAGTGCCAATACACAGAAGAACGAAAGTAAGAAAAAAGAACACGTGTACCTTATACTTGCTGAAAAACTGAAAATGGACCACATATTGTCATGGCTTGAAACAGAACTGTTTCTCATAGGCTCATGTTTTGAGTGCTTGTTCACTAGATGGTTTGCAGTGGCTGTGGAAGCTGTAGGATTGGGTGTGGGTTGGGGTGGGACTACAGGCTCAAGCAGGGCATTAGGAATAGAACTTGAAAAGCTATATACTAGGCCCTGTTCCTTACACTTTCTGAGGCCTGGTCTACAGCAAAGCAGCTGGCACTGCCAAATGCTCTTACTTCCATGGACTGAGCCATTCCACTGTGACTTTTTTTATCATCAAAGTACTGGAATCTACTGAACTGTGGGCCAACACAAACTCTTTTTTTAAAAAAATAAATTTTATTTAAATTAGTAGAGAAGGTCTCCCATCACCAATTTTGTTTTGTTTTGTTTTTGTTTTTTTGAGATAGGATTTCTCTATATTGCTTTGGAGCCTGTCCCAGAACTCACTCTGTAGACCAGGCTGGCCTCTAATTCACAGAGATCTACCTGCCTCTGCCTCTTGAGTGCTGGGATTAAAGGTTTGCTCCACCAATGCCCAATGAATTTTATTTAAATTAAAAACAATATTATTTCCCATATCAATCCCAGTTCTCTCTCCCTCCCATCCTCCCATGCCTCCCACCAAACCCCCCATCCCATCCCCCTATTCACTCCCTAGGGAGGGTGAGGCCTTCTATCAGGGATCATCAAAAATCTGTCAAGTCATTTGGTGCAGGGCCTAGGCCCTCCCCTGTGTATCTAGGCTTAAAGAATACCCGTCCATGGTAAATGTGCTCCCAAAATCCATGCACTAGGGATATATCCTGGTTCTACTGCCAGAGGCCCCAAGGACTGCCCATGGTTCTTAGCTGACACCCACGTTCAGGGAGCCTGGTTTGGTTCTACGTTCGTTCCCCAGCTGTCAGACTGGGATCCATGAGTTCCCACTTGCTCAGGTCAGCTGTTTCTGTGGGTTTCCCCCAAATTCTTTTTTTCTTAAGATGACTCTATCAGGTATTGTGGTCAAAGAAACACAAAGGTCAGTGGAGATCTGGTGCAGTGAAATAGATTTGTCACTGTGATGAACTTAACATGAGGTTCTTAGGCTTTTGGAAAGTGCAAGAGTTTGAAGAGATAAACTATAATGACTTAAGAAGTCTGTAAGTATTATTTAATGGGTAATTATGGTAGAAATATAAAGACACCACAGCAAAATGCATGCAGTAAAAGCTTAGCTTGTTAGCTTTCAGCTAGAACATGACTCTACTGGCAACTGAACGATATGCCATTTGTGTTATCAGTGGGCAAAGAATTATCTCTGAGCAGGTCCTGAAAATCTGAATAAAAATGAATTTAAAAATATGGGACTAATTATTTGGTGAAGAAAAATATCAATGGCATAATAACCATCCCATAGCATAGTCATTGTTGTCTACTGGGTTTATTGTAAAACTCATGATAAAGGAGTTGAAAATCACAATTTGGCCAGAAAAGGGGCTCCCATGCGATAGGGCTGGGGATGGTGACATTTAAAGGTACAAAGTAGATCAAACAAAGTAGGCAATGTTATTAAACAGTTTAGCATCATTAGAAATGCTGTGTTCTTTCCACTGGAGTAATAAGAAGGGTACTTTATGAAAAGATGGTATCCAAAAATGAAGCCTCAGAGGTACTCTGCTTGAACTGAGCTCCTTAGAAACCTTGGGTCTCATTAAGCAGCCATGGCTTGCCTACAACTCACTAGATAGACCAAGCTGTCCTCAAATTCACCAAGATCCACCTGCCTTTGCCACTGGAATTATGGGAATAAGACATATACCACCATGCCTATGTCTAGGTAACTTTTGTCTCAAGTTCAGTGCCCAATCAGACAGAGGTCTAAGTGGGTTGGCAACAGAACTTGGTGTCTTCCACATGATGCAGGTTTTGCAGACATTCAGAATGTATGAGTTATGAGGTCCTTGAGTATTGTGCAGCTCCTTCCTCAGAACTGAAATATTCCCTCCTGGAGGGAGGCACAACAAACTTGTGAAGTCAATGAGACTTACAGAATTTACAGATCCACTCCTGAAGGCTTTATAAGCATTAAGGACTGTTTGGGAGAGGAGATTCTCAGACAAGCTGAACTACAAGCAAGTTGCACAGACAGCTCTGGGGTGTAGCTTTCGGGAGTCATCACCCATGCTGAGGAGGGCTTTTTAGCTATGTAGCTGTCTTTGAGCCACCCATGTTCTCTTTTTTGTTTTTTTGTTTTTTGTTTTTTCAGACAGGGTTTCTCTGTGTAGCTTTGGAGCCTATCCTGGCACTCGCTCTGGAGACCAGGCTGGCCTCGAACTCACAAGCGATCCCCCTGCCTCTGCCTCCCGAGCTCCCGAGTTCTGGGCTTAAAGGCATGTGCCACCAACGCCCAGCCCACCCATGTTCTTTTATGCTCATAATCAACACCTTGAAACTGACTGGTTCACTAAGCTAGACAGGTAGAATTGTTTCTTTGGTCATATCTCCTAGGAAAAAATATGAACCCTAAGGTGTGGATCAAGATTTCTGAGTAAGCTTGGGAAGCTAAGACATGTGGAACTTCACTGCACTCTTTGTAATAAGTCTCTATGGAACTCATATGAAAACCTATATGGACAAAGCCACTTATAACAGAGAGCCCAAAATGTTGGAGATTACAGGAATATTGGAGATCTACAAAAGAAAACTGGAGCACTGAATGGAGACAATGCAACAGAGAGGCCACATGTGTTGCTAACTGAAGGATTACTGTGATGGTTAATATTGAGTGTGGACCTAACAGAATCTAGCATCACCTGAAAGACTTTGTATGAATGCTATAAGGGATTTTTCTGGACAGGCTTAACTGAGGTCATACAAACCAGCCTAAATGTGCCTTGTTCATGAACAGAAAGTTTCTGGCTGAATAAGAAGAGAAAGTGAGGTGAGCATCAGCAATTATCTTTCTCTACTGGTGGACTGTCTTAAACTCTTACTACCAAACTTCTGTTAGCACTATAAACTGTATCCTATCAAACTGTATATCAAATAAAGCATTCCAGTTTTAAGTTGCTTTTGTCAAGAATTTCCTTCACAACAATGGATTAAGTAGCTAAAACAACCATAAAGATGGATCAACTCGAGCCCGTTGGAATTTATATCATGAGAGCACATGCCCCAGGTGCCAAACACAGAGCTTCAGAATTTAACATCTGTGCTGCTGTGTGTAAGTCTTGCTTTATTCCAGTCTACTCTTGTCATTCTCCTGATCCTTCCTTTTGGAATGACAATATTTATATACTGACATTGTGAACTGTAATTCTCTACCAAGTAACAACTTATATTATGTAGGCCCTATTTTATATACTTGATGGATCAGTGACTCAGGCCCAGAAACGCTATGTTATTTGATCAAACTATAGGCAAATAGCTAGGAGCAACAAATCTAACCTTTGAGGACAGAACACTAGATCCAGAATCATTGTTCTTACTTTCTACACTTCCTCTCAAATAAACCTGTATGTAGCAATAAAATGACTTTTATAAATTAATTTTACAGATAAATATGCCACAAGAACCACTGTAGATAACTAGGTTTGTATTTAAACAGAAAAACAAAGAGACAATGTTTAGAATAAGGTTGGTTTTCTTACTGGTTAAGATGATGCCTGGGGCTGGGCAGTGGTGGCGCATGTCTTTAATCCCAGCACTAGGGAGGCAGAGGCAGGCGGATCTCTGTGAGTTCGAGACCAGCCTGGTCTACAAGAGCTAGTTCCAGGACAACCTCCAAAGCCACAGGGAAACCCTGTCTCGAAAAAACAAAAAAAAAAAAAAAAAATGATGACGGGGTATACAAAAAACAGCTAAACATTACTAATAAATAGAGAATACAAATGACAGCCTCAATGAGAAATCTTGGCCAAATTAAAAGTAAAAAAAAAAAATTGTTAAGTGAGAATTCAGAAAAATGTGAGCTCATATACTACTGATAGAAACATAAATCAATGTATCACTTATAGAGGACAATATCGAAGAATCTAAAATAATAGAATATGAACAAACTATCTACTTTTGAGTATATATGCAAAGAAAATATAATCAGTATATCAAAGATAACTACATTCCTTTAGTATGGAATTATTCACAATAGCCAAGATATACAATACCTGAGGTATTTAATAGTAGCTAAAAGAATAAAGAATATCATTCAGGCTGTTACTCAGCTTTCTGACAGTGTGACTAAATACTTGAGACTATCAATTTATTAGAGCCAATTTATTATCTTAGCCATCATTTCAGAGGTTTTAAATCAAGGTCATATGGCTCTACTGATTTTGAATTCCAGTGAGGCAGTCCATATCAAGGAACATGCTAGGGTAAAAACTGCTGACCTTGTAGTAACAAAGAAGCAAAGACAGAAAGGGGAAGGAATTAGGGTCCCAATATTCCCTTTGGTGGCATATTCCCTAGTGACCTAACCTTCTAATAATCCATAGCTCTGGAAGGTTTCATCACCTCCCAATACTGCCACAGGATGGAAACCAATCCTTTAACATATATGTCTTTGGGAGGAGACATTTAAGATCCAAAGAGTATCACAGCCATAAAGAAAATGTCTGATCCTTAGGACCTATGTAGTGGGAGGGTTGAATCGATTCCTAAACATTGTCTTCTGACCACCACACAGGTGTGGCAGGATGCACAAACCCATACATACTCCACACCTTCTACTGCCCTTCCCACCTCAACACAAATAAATTAGTAAGTATTCTTAAAATAATAAGTAGATTATACAGAAAAAAATAAATAGTACTTCTAGAATTTCTAAATATGGTCTTGTTTACCAAATTGAATCAACTGAGTGACCAAAAGAGCAGCCTCTTAGACTCAATTGTATTGAACCAATAACATTTAAAATACTGCGAATGATGTCCAGACATGACAGGACTGACACACATGAACACAGAGAAACTGTGGCAGCATGCACAGGTTCAAGCCAGATGGGGCTCCAGTGCTGAGGAGTCTCAGACATGAGCACCCATCCCTAACCATGGTGGACACAAAGTCAAAGCAGCAATATATTAAAAACAAACAAACAACTTGATACTAATGGGAGGTGATGAGAAGACTCACATGAGAAAGTTGGGTAAGAACACTGACAACAGAACTCTAAAGAAGTAACTATAGTGACAGCATGAATTTCAATTTTCTTTTTAAAAATTGGATTATAATCCTTGTCAGGCAGGCAACAATCATGCCTAAATTTTAGAAAATTGTCATAGGGATATGAACTATCTTCATGTAGTAACAAGAATCAGTAACACAGTTGACTACATAGCCATCAGGTAAATAAGTATACTTTATGTTTATATGACACACAATTTTAAAAGTATACTCACATTTTTAGTGACATTTCCATATGTTTCACACGTGCAACTGCTTCATCTCTCTCTTCAAGGGCTAACTGCAGTCTGCACATAATAGCTTCATCACGTTCTCGCTGTGCAAAATAAACTTCTTCAACCAAAGCTACAGAACAAGAGAACTCATAATAAATTAAGAAATAAAGAAGAAATGCATACATAAATGCAAAACATAATTCTACTATTAAGGGGTATTTGTCGAATTAAACTATTACCAATTAATGATTTGAGAAAGCACTTTTAGTAACTATTGCAACATGAACATATTTGGCATGTGGAAAAGGAGAATAAGTTTAATGGCCTAGCTTTTAAAAAAGGAGTTAGTTTAAAAGAATGAGATTCATAAATATTGCAATTATCATGTATATCTACAGCATATGAAGAACAAATTAACTATTAAAGTATGTCCTTATTATAATTTAGAAAATCTTTGGTATATTAAAGATAATCATACACACAAGTGCAAAAGAAAACACATAAAAATACTGACTGAGGTATGCTCTGTAACAACAAGACTTAAAAATCACCCAAATGTGATCAATACAATCAGCAAATCACACATTCAGAAAGAATTGCCACCTGGCTATTGAATTAACTATGGGAGGAAGACAACAGAAATAACATGCCATTTACAAACTACATCAACGCTTGCATTTATGCATATGCATAACAGGACAGCAGTTCAATGAGTGCAATAGTGATTTAACATTGTACATTCACAGAACAAGAAGCACCTTTGAAGCAGAGTACATTTTTAATGGCATCTCTTAGTCTATTGAGAACTCTGATATTATCTGAAACTGACTCATCTTAAGTATAATTTTTAAGACCATGCAAACATCTTAAAATATTATAAAATGTTACGCAATATGTTCTTAAATACCTAGATAGCTGTCCTAAATCGTATTTAAACAGTCAAACCATAACAAAAACTTAGAAAATATGTAAAATATCCCTTAATTTATAAAATAATAGGCTCATGCCACAGTTATTATAAAATAATAGAGCAGTTCAAGACAGATACTGGTTTACTTAAATTAAAAGTGGTAGTAAAGGAGGGAGGAGCTCCCTGAATCTGGAAACACCCCACTCTTCCTTCCAGTTCCAATGAACTGACCCCTATGGAGGCCTAACTCCTTCAGAGTGAGGAGACTACCAGGAGAGGCAAGCCCATCCAGAGCTGCAGACATTGAATCCCTGGCCCACACACACCACTGGGTCACAGGAGGAGACAGACAGACCCCACTTGCACCCACTGGAAGAAGATATGGGAAGAAGACAGAATAAGAACCCACTCAACAACAGAAAGACCAATATGACACCACCAGAATCTAGGGACTCCACACCAGCAACATCTGAAAAGCCCAACACAGAGCATAAAGAAGAGATGGACCTCAAAAATTATCTCAGCAAGATAATAGAGACCTTGAAAGAGGAAACAAGAAAATCCATTAAAGAAATAGAAGAAAAAGGCAGCAAAAAATTACACGAAATGGAGGAAAAGACAAACCAAAAAATTCAAGAAATAAACAAATCTCTTAAAGAACCTAAAGAAACCCAAGGAAAAAACATCCAAACAAGTGAAGGAAGCTCTTGAAACAGTTCAAAGCATGAAAGCTGAAATAGACACAATAAAGAAAACACAGAATAAGACGATGCTGGAAATGGAAAAGCTGGATAAATGAGTAGGAACTAAAGATGTTAATATAACTAATAGAATTCAAAAGATGTAAGAGAGAATCTCAGCTAGTAAAGACTCACTAGAGGATATACACAGTCACCGACCAAAGAAAACCTCAAGTCCAACAAATCCCTAACACAAAATATCCAGGAAATATGGGACACCATGAAAAGACCAAACCTAAGAATAACAGGTATAGAAGAAGGTGAAGAAACACTTCTCAAAGGTACAGAAAACATATTCAACAAAATCATAGAAGAAAACTTCCCCAACCTACAGAAAGATATGCCTATGAAAGTACAAGAAGCTTACAGAACACAACATAGACTGGACCACAAAAAGAAGTCCCCCCAACACATAATAATCAAAACACCAAACTTACAGAATAAAGAGAAAATATTAAGAGCAGCAAAGGAAAAAGGCCAAATAACATATAAAGGTAGACTTATCAGAATCACAACTGACTTCTCAATGGAAACTTTGAAAGCTAGTCCTGGATAGATGTCCTACAAACACTAAGGGAACATGGATGCCAACCCAGACTACTGTACCCAGCAAAGCGTTCAATCACCATAGATGGAGAAAACAAGATATTCATTGGCAAAAACAGATTTAAACAATACATATCCACAAATCCAGCACCACAGAAAGTCCTAGAGGGAAAACTCCAACCCAACCAACATAACTGCACTCACAAAAACACAGGCAATAGATAATCTAATTTTACCAAACAAAAAAAGAAACAGGAAAGTGAAATCTACACACAATGACACCACCAACAATTTAGACTTCAAACTAAAATCAATCAAAAGAGATGAAGAAGGGCATTTCATGCTCATCACAGGAAAAGTCCATCAAGATGAAGCCTCAATCCTGAACATCTATGCCCCAAATATGAAGGCACCCACATTTGTAAAAGAAACACTACTAAAGCTCAACTCACTCATAAAACCACACACACTAATAGTAGGAAACTTCAACACCCCCCTTACACCAATAGACAGGACCAACAGACAGAAACTTAACAAAGAAACAAAGGATCTGAAAGAAGTTATGACCCAATTGGGTTTACCAGATATCTATAGAACATTCCATCCAAACACAAAAGAATATATCTTCTTCTCAGCGCCACATGGAACCTTCTCTAAAATTGACCACATAGTTTGCAGCAAAGCAAACCTCCACAGTTACAAAATAATTGAAATACCCCCCCCGTATCTTATCAGATCACCATGCATTAAAGCTAGAATTCAATAGCAATACGAATTGCAGAAAACATACATATTCGTGGAAATTGAATAACGCCCAATTGCACTATTCCTGGGTTGAGGAAGAAAGAAAAAAGAAATTAAAGACTTCCTAGAATTTAATGATAATGTAGACACAACATACCCAAAATTATGGGACACTCTGAAAGCATTGCTAAGAGGAAAGTTCATAGCATTAAGTGCCCACATGAAGAAACTGGAGAAAAGTCACATTAGAGAATTGACAGAACAACTGAAAGCTTGAGAACAAAAAGAAGCAAACTCACCAAGGAAGAGTAGACACCAGGAAATAATCAACCTGAGGGTTGAAATCAATAAAGTACAAACTAGGAAAATAGTACAAAGAATCAATGTAAGAAAGAGTTGGTTCTTTGAGAAGATCAACAAGATAGACAAGCCTCTATCCAAACTAATTAAAAGGCAGAGAGAGAGAGAGAGACAGCATGCTAATTAACAAAATCAGAAACCAAAGGGGGGATATAACAACAGACAATGAGGAAATGCAGAGAATCATCAGGTCATACTTTGAAAAGCTGTACTCCACAAAATTCGAAAATCTAAAGGAAATGGACAGTTTTCTGGATAGATATAACTTACCAAAATTATACAAAGAACAGATAAGCAGTTTAAATCGACCTATAACCTCTAATGAAATAGAAGCAGTCATCAAAAGCCTCCCAAACAAAAATGCCCAGGGCCAGACGGCTTCACTGCAGAATTCTACCAGAAATTCAAAGTACAGCTAATTCCAGTACTCCTCAAACTGTTCCGCACAATAGAAGCAGATGGGATATTGCCACTCTTTTTACGAGGCTACAATCATTTTGATACCCAAGCCACACAAAGATATGACTAAGAAAGAGAACTACAAACCAATATCCCTCATGAACATTGATGCTAAAATACTCAATAAAATATTGGCGAACCGAATTCAAGAACATATCAGAAAACTCATCCTCCATGATCAAGTAGACTTCATCCCAGCGATGCAAGGATGGTTCAGCATATGAAAATCCACCAATGTAATCCACCATATAAACAAAAACAAAAAGAAAAAGAAAACCCACATGATCCTCTCACTAGATGCTGAAAAGCCGTTGACAAAAATCCAACATCCCTTCATGATAAAGATCTTGGAGAGAACAGGAATAACAGGAACATATCTAAACATGATAAACGCAATATACACCAAACCAATAGCCAACATCAAACTAAATGGAGAGAAACTCAAAGCGTTTCCACTAAAATCAGGAACAAGACAAGGCTGTCCACTCTCTCCATATCTCTTCAATATTGTACTTGAAGTTCTATATAGAGCAATAAGACAAGAAAGGGGGATCAAAGGGATACAAATTGGAAAGGAAGAAGTCAAACTTTCACTATTTGTAGATGACATGATCGTCTACATTAGTGACCGGAAAAACTCTATCAGGGAACTCCTACAGCTGATAAACACCTTCAGCAAGGTAGCAGGATACAAAATTAACTCAAAACAATCAGTAGCCCTACTATATACATATAATAAATCCAATGAGAAAGAAATCAGGGAAACATCACCTTTCACAATATCCACAAGCAACATAAAATATCTTGGGGTAACACTAAGCAAAAAAGTGAAAGACACGTACAATAAGAATGATGGGGGAAGTACTTCTGTGTATGTTTGTCTTATTGATTGTTAAATAAAATACTGTTTGGCCAATGAAATGGCAAGTTAGGCAGGACTAGGAGTCAAAGAGGATTCTGGGAAGTGTAGTAGAGAAGTGCTGATCCAGGCAGGAAGTGACATAGCAAGGAGACTCATTTAAGCGAAGGAGAAACAGGAAGGGCCTTCTTTTCCCCTCCGCTCCTGCTCCAGCGGCACAATGTGATCCACGGACAAGGAGGATCCGCCAATAAGGCGTCCGATAAGATAAGTCTTATAAAATATATAGGTTTATGACATTTAAGACTGAGCTAACAGATGAGAAGTCCTAGCCATTGGCCAAGCAGCTTTAAACCTAATACAAGACTCTGTATTTATTTGGGCCTAACTCAGGCAGGTGGCTAATCCACAAGCAACATTAAATATCTGGGGGTAACACTAACCAAAAAAGTGAAAGACCTGTACAATAAGAACTTTGAGACTTTAAAGAAAGAAATTAAAGAAGATACCAG